CCGCTCTTTTTTTTCCTCCGCAAATGTAATTGTAGCCATTTAGTTTAATGAGGAGCTGATAGGAGAGTTGACTCATGGAGGGATACGGTTAGCTACCCAGGCCATGAAACAAAGCCGAATGCCTCCACATGAAAGAGCATTTGTTTTGAATTTGCTCTGATTTACTGGCATCTCCGCTCCACGCACAGAAGTGCAGCTCTGAAAATTCCCGACTGGAGAGACCCAGGCAAGAAAGGAAAATAAACGCAGTTTGCAGCAATTCTCCAAAGCTAGCCTTTTCTCTCTCTCTCTCTCTCTCTCTCTCTCTCTTTTTTTTTTTTTTTAGTTAGAGGAAGAGTGTGTTTGAACAGGGCTTTAAGGAGACATTGTCAGGGTGCGTTGGGAGTATGTCGCTTCTCTCTGCGGGGAAAAGCTCCCTCTTCGATAGCTAAGTGGGGATCACGGGCGCCTTGCGGAAAAGTGCCTCCTCCTGTCTCCGTCTCCCGCTGGAGGCCAGCGGTAGACCCAGTCTTCGTGCCTTGGCCTTGCGACTTTCTCGCGGAAGGGCGGCTTTAGGAAAAGGGAAGGAAACCCGATTTGGGTAGATCTGGAAGCGGATTAGGTGGTTTGGCTGATGAGCACGTGGTGGGGGTTGAGTGGCCCTGCCGTGGGCGCCAAAAGCCTTCTGCAAGCCCACCTGGCCTGAGGAGGTTGCTTTGGCCACCAGCGAAGGGCAGCTGATGCCAACTTGGTAGTAGCCTTCAGCTGGACTTGGCACGGCTGTTTCAGGGCCGAGGAAGGGAGGTCCTGTCCCCTTCTCCAAGCCAAAAGGGTAGGATTTAGCAAGGCAGATCGCTATCGGCGCAAGAGAGAATTTGGGAAGCGGGCCAGGTTGGGGTTAACGTCTCTTCTGGCTGGAAAGCTTGCATGGGGGTTTTGGAAAGCTGATGACATTGTACGGCGAGCGGTTAAAAAGGGATCGCAGTCCTGGGTGAGGATGCGTTCTTGGAAGAGGAGGCTCAGGTCGGGCCATCAGCTGGGTTTCTCCTTCCTGGAGGCTGAAGGCAGCTTCTCGGACGGGATCGCCGCGCCGGGAGGGCGAGCTTGGGCGAGCGTTTCCCCTTGGCCGTAACCCGTCGGAGCCTCCCTTCCCCGCGTGCTCTGTTTGCTGTTTGCCTTCGTGGCCCAGCCTGCCCCGCGGAGAGCCAGCGTAATGAATGGGGCTCAGTTCAGGGCGGGAGGAAGGTCGGCAGCCTGCAGCCCGCGCCGTGATGCTTTTGGCAAGGGAAGAGAAAAAAAAAAAAAAGACAAAAAAGCAAATGGATGCAAAAACGTAATCCTACGGGGTTGGGGGGGGGGGGGTCCCCCGCGAGGGGGC